GCGTAGCCTCTTTGGGGCTAAAATGTGGAACTCACATATATCCCTTCGACTTACTAAAATAGTTCAAAATAATTCATCTGAAAAATCTACCCTGATTTCCAAAACCTATAATTAGATCATTTCCTATTTGCACTTATGTCTGTAATTGACTATTAATTGTTAGCTCGTATATTTAACAAGGGCAGAGACAGATTTCTATGGTCTGTAATGGGCAAACATTGCTTTTTTCGTGTAGTCTGTAATTGAAAAAGGAAGAAATAGCAGCCTAATTAGTCAAGCTCCTAATTAGCACAATTTTAAACTCATTAATGTCTGTAATGGAGAGGGGGTGGGGAGCCGCAAAAATCTCGCCTTTAAACTTATACTCACCATTTTCTTCGAAAATATATGTGAGTTTTACAAAAGAAAAATGTCGAAAGACGAACTTGAATTTGAAAGAAACTAAATTGTTTAATAATCCGAACTATTCAGCATATTTTTTATATAATATTTATTGTCAAGCAGCTGATAAGATGTATACATTAAAACAATACAAATAGAAAAGATTAAGTAGTAGCAAATTTACAAACAAAATCCTCATAGCTACTTCAGTATAGTCGCTAGATTGTTTGTAGTTTTTATTCTTTTGAAAAAATTGTCTTCGTCAAATACGCTATTAGCCTGGTAATGCATTCCTAGGCGAGAGAGACTTCTCAAAAACTTGTGCGCACAGCTATTGATGTACAAGGTATTCTTTGAGTCTTATTCTATTTATTTTTGGTTAGACATTCACTTTTGTTGAGCCTACTGTATATTGACGCTGATATCATTCCAGTAAATGTAGAATCTGAGCCCATTGATATATATTCGGAAAACGGAATCTTTGAATTATTTGTGACTTTCTCCTTGATCAACTCTCACACTCTTGACTAATCTTGAGTGTTCTAGTTCAAAAAACATATTCTTTTAAGACATTGTTCTTCCGAAGTACATGCACAATTTCGAAAAATCGATTTAAGCTTTCTATGTAGATTTTTGTTAATTATACTTATGTGAAAGATCCAATTCAAGCCTAACCATATCTATCCCTCAAGGGAATTCAACCAAATTAAGATTTATATAATTTTTTACATTCATTAAAAGACAGTAGCGCATCCAGAGCTCCGCGAGACTGTATGAGGCAGGAAGGGAGGATAAAATTGAAAATGCGGCAGAGCGAAACAGGATCGAACATGATTCCTCACGGGATGGGATCCAATCAATTCATGTTTCTGTTCCACCAAGTTCATACAAGCAGAGCCAACTGTTGTAATTAAATTTAGCGAAGACAACAAAGAGGAGAGGTGGATCCTAGGATCTAGTAGGATCCTCTAGGCTCCATCTTTCGGCACTGATTGCAAATTATTGTAAGCCTAATTAACTTTTGATGGATTAAAGTAAGTTCTGATAGTTCTTCTTAGATTCTAATAAATCTATTTTACAATTTATTAGCGTTCATTGGTGTCCATAAGAATCCTTCAGTATCCAACAGGATCCATCAGAATTCGCATTATTGCTTTTCATTAAAAATCCGTGCATATTGCTAAACTATAGTTGGGATGAATGTATTTCAGCAAGAGTTAATATATCTCAATTGATTTATGAGGATTCTAGTAATTATTGATAAATTTTGGTACTACAGAACGAATCACCTAAAGCTCCAATAGAATCCATGAGATCCACTAGGGTCCAAAATCCACCTCCTCCGCCCATAGCTAGTTTCACTGTGATGGAGCATAGATAGCATTTTATTTTGTTTTTATATTTATGCCGAGACTGAGGAGATTATTCTTTTTCTCTGATTCACTTTAGTTAATGATTTTCTACTTGAATATGTTTTCAGCATCAATTTTATTAAATACGCTCGACTATTAGGTTCAAGTATGAGAGATGTGTGCAAAGACGTTTTAAAGAAAAATCTGTACTTATCATCTGTCTGATGTTATAGTAACTTTAAATTTTCATTTGAAATGATAGTCAAATCGCTTCTGTTAAGCTGAGTTCATAACATAAAGTCACTCTAGGAAAATTTTCCAATAGCAATCCATGATATTATTATTTTTGTTCTATAATATGCATCCATGTATCCAAACCACAGGATCGTAATCTAATTGATATTCGATCAAATAACATGTTACATATATATTATTGCTAATTTTAGTGACAATTACTACAATTTTGCACGAATGTTTCAAGTTGGTCAATCTTGACATTCTAGATCAGTGTTGTTAATTTTTCTGTTTTTTCAAGAATGTGATGGAAAATTTGAATAAAGATCTCAAAATGTTTGTTTTATCGTTATTCTGATGGAAGTTTACCATGATTTTTATTTTTTAGGAAGTATAAAAAGTTTGAAATCTGTATTATTCGTTGTTAGACTGATGTTGGTCTAGATCTTTCTTTTTATCATATCTCGAGATGAATGCAGATGTCGATGACATGAACATCATTGATGCAATAGGCTCATTTTTTAGCTTAGAACCGAATCCCACCGCTCTCAAACTTACCCGAACCTATCTGTGAGAGATGCACATTTTACTTATCCGCCAAAACTGTAGTCAAATCCTGACAGGTGGATAAATCGTTCAGCAGGCTGAGTAAATCGCGTATAAAAAAAACAATATTTACCCGGCGAGAAGATTTGAGCTCGGTTTCGAATGGGTTCGTTCAAATAAAAGTCTCAGTTATATCTATAAGGTGCACATTAAACGAATGAATTTCAATTTCTTGGCTATTCATCAATGGCTTTCATCTGCAAATCTTATTGATGAGCAATTAAGAAAAATTAGGACTCAATAATTAAATAGTTTGAAGTCTAATTTTATTTTGCCATACTGATTCAAACTTTGTTCGATGAAGGTTTCTTGTTCTCAATCGTTCTAGTTCGAAGATGTTGAGTCTCTTTGTAGGGCAAAAATCTAGAAGCTGAGTCTTATCATCATTTTAATGTATGTGGCCTATTGAAATTTTCTAGTTCTTCATATCTAAAAACGTTTTTGCAATTATAACAGCTGGGAATCATCGTACTCATCGATCTAGTCAAGATAGTGATTATGGCTACTTTTTCATATATAGTTCAAATAGTCCAGGATCAGTAATTATTGAGATATGTTAATATTTTTATCTTCTGCTCTTGTAAAATAATTCAATATTGTTCAAGCCGTTTGGTTTATTTATATCTAGTATAAAGAAAACATTCAATAAAGTTCTTTCAATTTCTTTTTTTCTGTGGAAAGCAAATGCAAAACAACTAAGAAACTTTACAAAATAAAATAGACAAATGTCACAGTTGATTTTAATAAATAAATTTTCATACAATATATGTAATATAATATATGTTTGTTTGTTTGTTTGTTTCCAAAAAAATAATAGTTCATTCAAAATAATAATAATAATAATAATAGTAAATCTATTATGCTAAGCTTGTTATAGTGGGTAATTGTTGTTCTAGTGCAAAACTTTTAACAATCGATGAATAATCTTTTGAAGTTATTCGATTATGAGTTACATACGATTGAAGAGTACGTGCGAAATTGTAAACTTCTCTAAAATTGACATCATTGTATAAACGATAGTAGCGTGGAATACTGAATTGTTCAAGTATATAAACTGTTCCATCAATATTACTTTTCCATATGTGTGATGTGTCAACTAGTCGACGTGAATGCGAAATCGAATTTGAATTATTACGACGTAAAATTGACACAGTTGGTCGAGAGATAGATTTTAATGATGATATTTGTTCACGAAGATTAATTTGATTTGGAATATAATCATGATTAGTTGAAATTCTTACTGATTTTGATGCTGGTATTCTTGATCGTGTTACAGTTCGTGTTAATAATCTAGGAGAAGTTGTCAATGATTGAATTGGGCGATAGGGTAAGCGAAAATTATATCGATAAGGTAAAACTTAAACATAGAAATAAGAAAAAATTAATTTTTATGATGCACCAAAAACTATATCAGTAGACGTACGAATTCTATCATGATAATATGTTATTCGATTTTGACGATGTGACTTTCTCATGAAAATACTATCAATACGTTTACTTGCTCTATTTGCTATTAACTTTGAATTAGCCGACAAAAATTTAGCTTCTTCAATATCATCATTTTGTAACATTAGATCAATACGTTTTTGTAATTCATCAATACGTTGTTCATTTAAACGAATCCACGATGAACCTGTACTATGATCATTTAAACATAGATCACAATAATCAAAGCGTGGCTGCCGTTGTCGAGAGTAATGCAAACTTGAATTTTCAATCCGCATTGAAGATGATGGAACATAATCTTGAAATAGTTCTGCACCTGTTCTACTTGGTAATGATTCACATGCACTTTTTGTTAAATGAGTTGTACATTGTGAATCGGGTGGATTTTGTTCTTGCGAATGAGACGGTATTAGTGATGTATCTCGATAGAGTTGTGTTGTCTGAATAAAAATAAAATAAAATTTAAACACAAAAGAAAGAAAGAAAAATGTTCTTTTAGTTTTTCTACTCTATCAGATTGTACTATTGTTGGATTTCGCATTTTTTCCCTATAACGTTTAAGAACATCTTCAATGTCTAATAATTCGTTATCGATGATGGCAATAGCTCGTTGTCTTTCACGTAATGTTCTTTCATATCTCTCCATCAAATTTGCTAATACAGTGATTGATGTATTTTCTGAACTCTTTGTCCGCATTCTTCGATTTGTCTCACTAATCGAATGATTATGTGGACTTTGAATAGTACAAGGATCGAGTGTTGAGCATGATTGTTGATCAAAATTTGATGTAACTGTATTATAACCAGTGTCAGATTGTTTTGATGATGTTGTTATTCGTCGTGAACGTCTATTTCCACATGTTGATGAACTGTCAATTTGATAATCACTTAAATGAGAATCTAAGTCACCATGAGAATCCACCTAAATAAGAAGAATTAAAAAAAAAAGAAATCCTTTACTAAAACATAAATATTTTAATTTAATGTACCCTTTGACAATGATCGATACATGGTAAGCATCTTCTTGCATTATTTCCATCATCGATTTCATCAATAATCTCATAGTGATTATTTATGGTCATAGACGATGATGATTTTCGAATATTTGAAGATCGTGATGATGATGGTGTCCTTTGCCTTTCCAATAACATTTCTATATCTTCTTCACTAACTGTTTGTATTGACTGATCGCATTGTCTTGGAGAAATACGAAGTAAACTTATTTCTTTTTCTTCGCCATGTTTTGTAATATAACTAGATAAAATTATATTAGCTGAAAGTTGAAGCCACCATTGAGGATAGTCATCGCCGGTCGATACAGATTTATTTGAATATTGTTGACCATTAAGATTCATTATTTTTGTTTGACAATGATAATTTGAGGAAATATTCTCATCGCAAATATATGGATTTGCAATAGATGATAGAAGATCTTCATTTGTTTCTACATCAAGATTAAATAATTTAACAAACTCATGATCAGTTTCTGTTGATTGATCCATAGGTTTATATCTTAACAAAGAGAAACAAAAAAAGATTTGTCTTGTCATCATGATTGAATAAGAATAAAAGAAAATAAATGCCTACTCTGTTTGTGTCATTATTGAAACATGAACTCGTTCATATAATATTGATTGATTATGTACTGTTTCGGCGGCATTATGTTGTTCTATGTTTGTCGTTCGATGTTCATCAACTGTTTCTTCGTTAATAAAAGGAAGAATCTCTTCGCTACTTGTTAAATGTTCATTATCAAGATCACATTGGACACCCTTTGAATTTCCTGATCGAACAGAACGGGTATATTGATAATAGGGTACACTATGATATTCATTAATCTCATGCCATGAATGACGACGACGCCGATCAATTTTTGGCATTATGACCTGCCTATATCGTAGTTCAGTTGAGAATATTGAATGACGATTACGACCTGATGTGAACACTTGAACAGCTGCATCTTGAACTAAATGTGGTTTTCCACGTTCGACAACAGCACCATCAACTATTGAAAAGAAGTTAAAATAAAAAAATTAAGAAACAGAAAAAAAATTGTCCTACCAATTATCCATAATTTGCACATCATGGGTAAACGAGTTGATTCCCCTTCAATATCCCATCGAATAACATCTGATATATCACAATCATCCATCAATGAACCAATACATCTTGCATTTTCTTGTTTAAATAATTGTTCTGTCTTTCCCATAGTAACCCATGAATCTTTTCCGTTAGCAAATGCGAATGGTTTTCGTACACTAGTTAGACATTTAACATAGGGTCGAAATGGTACCAATGATGCTCCACTTTGCCGGCGTCTTGGTGGTCGCGGACGAATAACAATATTTAAATTATCAAAATCAATTGGTTCGGTCGTATTAAGACTACTTAATTGTTCCATTTTTATTTTAGTCAATTACTTTTATATTAACATCTGAAATAATCAGATTACTTTATTATATATGTTTGCTTCTTTTTTAGACAAAAATGCTGAATAGAGATAACTGATTCAAAGAGCACCGATGAATAAGTATTCGAATAATAAAAATAGTTCTATATGATGATTGCATCTGTCGTTCGTTCGTTCGTTAGTTAGTTCTTTTTCACGAGAAAAAAACAAAGTTCAGCAGATTATTTGACGAAGAGGAAAAAAAGAAAAAAAAGTAAATGTTTCGTTTTTAAAACAAACCGCAAGTCGATTTAAATTGCATTACTTCTAATGGAACGAAAAAACAAACATCGAACATTTTTCGAGTTTTGATAAACACATGAATGCTTCATTTTTATCATAAAAAACCATTAGACTACAGAAAATTGAAAAAAAACTGCTTTATAATATATGTTTGTTTTTTTAATGAAAGTTAAAAAAAAACATTCTATTGATAGTTTTTTCAATAAGTCAGTTGTAGATCGAAGAAATTGAGAAAAATGTCCTTGAGCTGCATTAATTTAATCCTGGATTTCTCATAGTTCTGAGAATAAAACAAAAAAGGTATATAAGATTTTTTCCTGATAAATAACACCTCAATCAACAGAATTTTAGTGTTGTATACAAATTTCTATGCAGTTGATGTTCACTTTTAAATGTTTAGTTATTAAATAGAAAGAATAAAATTTTTCAAGCTTCAGGTTTTTGTTTCTATGATACTACAAATTATTTGGCTCTGTTTTACATTCTAGATTTTATAGAATGAGTTTTTTTCTTCATATCATGCATTTTTACCTTAGTGCATAGTAAAAATTACAGAACATTGTTGCTGCAGACGTTGTGACATATCAAGTATTATTTTTTCTATCTCGCACCGATTGGATTTGTTTCATCAATCTACTTCTCTCACCTTTTTTCGAAATTTTTAAAAACGATGAAATTTCTCTCTTGCCTCACTTTTTTGTTGAGTAGTTCTCTTTTTTTTTATGAAGCGCATGATTTTATTTTATTATTGTTGACAGAGTTTGACAATGACAGTGAATAGATGCTAGAAAAAACAACAATAATAAATGTCTTTAATTGCTTTACAAATTCAGAAAATATTTAAGTATAAAAAAATTGAAATAAAATCTATGCAATAGTAGTGATATTGAAAGAGAAAAGAAAGGAAATTAGTAAAGCTACTTAACCGGAGTAAATGCTTTTAATTGCTAATTATATGCAGTTTAAGGATTCCTATTAGCAATATTACATAGAGAAAGAAAAGCCTGAAAGCTATCGACACATTTCAAACAATTAGATTTCTTTATTTGTTTAGTATAGTAAAATCAATGAGATACAATAGTGACTACTTATCAATCTCTATTACGATCCCTACTTCAGTAAATTGTCTAAATTCAAATCAATCTCTCAGTGTATAAGCATTTAGGCGAAGTTTTTATTTTTTCATTTTTATGTTAGAGCTAGAAAAAAAATCTAGCACGATAAAACAATAATTCTCTTGATACATTTACGTTTGCTAATAAAATATCGTGATATATACAATGGAACTTTCTTTGTCTATAAAGGACGTTTTTGTCAAAAGATTATCGATCATCATTTTATATACTCAAAAAGAATAATGAGGAAAAAATGTTGATTATAATTTGAAGAACATTTCATTCGATATTCTATGGTTATGGCATAAAATGAATAGAATTTCACAAAAAATGTTTTTCATTCCGCGTCTATTATTTTCTTTTCAATTGCACTTTATATAAAAATCGTTGGTAAAGAATCAACATTGAAGCGGTTTTAATTTAATGTTAAGGATACAAAAGACGACATTTGAGAGGGAAAAGGCAGACAAAATAAACAAAAGACATTGCCAAACAAAAGTTGGTTATGTTTGCTTTATAAAAATATTCGACCTTCAACACGAAATCTCGTTGCACTCATCAAATTACTAATGATTTTACAGTAATCATTTAACCTCTACTGATAGGAAAATGTATTCTATTTGATCCAAACGGATAGATTCATATCGTGTTCTCTGCATATATTAAAATTCATAGAAATACTTTCAAGGTCGAGTCATTATTTCGGTATGTCAGGAACAATGATAGAAGTCCTCTGATTTATTGGCACAAAACGAATATCCCATAATGATATTTACTATTTGTATGTCTGTATTTAGCATTTTTAACATGGAATGTAGTCAATCGTTTGAAATATTTTAAATATCAAAGATTCTAACGTATGATATATAAAGAAGGGAGTCGTTTTGTAGCATCGTCTTCAGAATCTTTGAAAGAAATAGCGTTAAATTACAATCTTAGATTACGAAAAAATTGAACTGATGTTGAATTGGTTTCCTATATATTTTTGATCTTGATTGTTTCTAACGACTGACTACTATATTCTATTGCAACACCATTTTTCATCTGTGAACTAATACTCACACATTGAAAAGAAGCCCTTTTGTTCTATAGATGTTCCTATTAACAAATATAATATTTGTGTTTGAAAAACTAGTCAGATCATAAGAGGTATCTGAAAAAAGTGATGATAGATTCATGAAGAAAACAATAGCGTTTGAGCTGCAAATTTATTCAGATTCATTGAAAATCTACTTCTTCAATAAAGTTTTGACTCGATAAGTTTAAGCTTTTGAATTCTCTGCCTAGGGTATGCTGACAAATGGATTTTGCTATACAGTCACGTCTAATTTTATGTTTAAATGATGTTTCGCTACAGAGATGGACAAGTCGGTGATTTTTCGATCCCAATTAAGTTAAGTCAAGTCAAATCAGATTCTAACCCGATTTTCACCAAATTTTCTTTTATTGACAACAAATAATGAGGAAAGTTGTTTCCTTCATCCATAACGTAGTTCAACTATCGCTTACTATATTATTTATTAATTGAATCATTATAGAAACAAAGAAATCAAGATACTGACGGTAAACAGATTTTTGGGAAGTGAGGAGAACAATAAAAATTCAGGAAAAATATTTTCCATGTATTTAATCAGCCATTAATTCATTTCAGCGGGAATTCTTTTGATGAAAATATTTCCTGGTCTGTATTTTTGTTCTTCCACTGCATTTCAAGTTCCAAACCGAAATTAAAATGAAGCAACGTTCGGGTGTATACATACATTTTTAGATTTGACTTGATTTTTTTATATACGAACAAGTCACAAGTCAAATCAAAAATGACTTGACTTTTCTATATATGTTTCACTAGTTCCAAATTATCTTTGTATGATTCAATTTATACATTTATTCTATGCATTCGACGCATACCTTTACGAAATTTTAAGGTCAAAATTCAATCGATGACAAATGTACAGAAAAAGATTTGAAATACACATCAGTAACCTCACTTTTTTTGTACTTACACTAATTATGGTTCTATTTGCAGTTAAAAAAATCGAACCTGATGTTGAAATAGTTTTTATAAACGGTATATGAAAGTAAGTTTTAGATAAAAGCTTCTCGAAAATGCAACGCCGTAGACGATGACATCTTGAAGGAGACAATATTTTGTTTGAAAATGTGCGAATACATTACAGCAGAATATGTGATTTATTCAAAGAGCACGCTATGCATACACAGGGAACGTTCAAATTTTCTGATAGAAACCATAACTTAATACAAGTAGCAGATTTTCAATGAATCTGAATAAATTTGCAGCTCAAACGCTATTGTTTTCTTCATGAATCTATCATCACTTTTTTCAGATACCTCTTATGATCTGACTAGTTTTTCAAACACAAATATTATATTTGTTAATAGGAACATCTATAGAACAAAAGGGCTTCTTTTCAATGTGTGAGTATTAGTTCACAGATGAAAAATGGTGTTGCAATAGAATATAGTAGTCAGTCGTTAGAAACAATCAAGATCAAAAATATATAGGAAACCAATTCAACATCAGTTCAACTTTTCTGAGACTGTAATTTGACAACCATTCTTGCAAGAAAAACAATACTCTCGTAGACGAAAGAAACAACTAGTGTTCAATTATATCAATTTTTATCTAAAAATGCATTTATTTTCATGAACACGATAAAAACTGAAATGAACTTCAAAGATTAATTTAACATTTCAAGATAACTATTGAATTTGTTATTCTTTCCGATTAAATGAACTTGATTCAGATTTGTTTTTGATAGAATCCGATAGTGAGTATACCATTGCCCGATATTGTAAATAGACGACAATTCAATCCACTACTTCTGTTGAGCTGTGCTAATATAAGAACGATTTGAATTCTAAAGTAAAATCTTTTACTTTCACATGTGACCTTTTTTACAAAGTAACTATCATTTCATTTTTTCCCCACATTTGAATCAGATGTACGTCATAGTTTATCGGGTTTCAAAAATTGATACATTTCCTTGTGAAATTAAAACTCGTTAGTTAGATAACTAGTGTGTTCGTTTTTCTCCCCTTTTGTAGACATGTTATTAAAACCGTTCTAATGATAGTCTTCTGCTAATTTGATTTTTTCTATCTGAAAATTTACTTTAAATTGTAGATTCTGATTTCTTAAATCTAGTTATTCATTCATTAAAAGTTAATTTCAATGCATTGTTCGATAGAACTCTTCGAATTTCAAGATTAAATTCATGTTAACTGAGAAAGAATAGTATTCTTTATGTTTATATTGGGTCATATCATCTTACGTTTGATGAAAAAGCGTAAACTCTGAATATAGAAACCTATATTGCTAAACCAAGAAAAGTTTTAAAAATTCTCTTTATCTAAGAATGATTTTTTTAAAACTAATTTTAGCTCTGAAAAATATAACAAAAGTGCTTTAATTGCTTGCACAACATCCGATATACTCAAATATTATGAATAGTTGACTAAGTGTTACGTTCAATTATTGTATTTGAAGAGTTTACATTAGAGACGTTTGCTGATTGCACCAATGTTTTTATACAAAGAACGAATGGAATTCAGTTTTATTATCAATCTTTCATATAACAAGTAAATAAACAATTCTATACATTATTAATAAATTGTAAAAGACGATAAATCCATGCTGATGAAAAATATCGCATAATTAGATAATGCATGGAATTTTAATTACTTATAGAAAAAGCTGTTAGCGCAATCCCTGTGGGATTAAAGTGTGAAACACGATGAAACTTCTTTGCTGGAGTCCATCTATCACGGTCTGTGAGTCTTTGCAGTTTTTTTTGCCACTGTCTGTAATTATATATGGAGCCTTCCGGCCATGGTCTGTGGTGATCTGTAGAGCTTTTCCGTCACGATCTGTATCATGATGTATGGAGTCGGTAGAGACCATCACAGACCGTTACAGAGAAATTAATTAATTAATTAACCGATAAATTAATTTCTCTGTAACGATCTGTTGGGGAGGGGGGGAAGGGAGGGTCCAAATTTTTACCCTATATATTTCAACACTCCTTTCAGATCGTGTTTCACAAAAAGGTATGTGAATCAATATTTATTTTGATATAATGTAATACATAATCGAACGGCACGTTCCTTCTAATATTTACAGTAGTTTTTAATTGAAGACTTAGATAGGTCAATACTGACAAGAACAAATAGAAACATGATGTATTCTTCATAGTATTGCATTTTTATCAGAAGAAAAATTTGTATGTAAGCACAATTGTGAGTATGGGGAATAAAGACTTCATCATGGAAATAAGAGAAAACAAATGATATAGTAAGCCGCTCAATCAAGAATCTTCATTCAAGATAGTTTGAATTAACAAAGAATATCAATCCCGTCGAATTCATCTAGTGTTGAATGTTGTATGCCGTCTGATCCAATTTGATACTATCTAATCTCAACAAAAATATATAGAGTGACAGAGATAAGATCATATAAACTAAACAAAATGTCAATCATGAGCCTTGATAATTTGTCTAATCAGATGAAATTGTAGAAAACAATATCATGATCAATTTCCTAATGTTAATTTTCTTATCGGTAGATGAATGTTTTGGATACCACGGCCTGTATTGATCTTGATTATAAACCTGAAGAAACTTAAATGCTCAATTATTGTTCATTCATAATTTTCTTAAAACTTGTTTTTCTTTCATAAATCTTCTTTTGATACTACAACATGACTATTTGCCAACGAGTAATTATGATAATTCTTCTCTGCCTTGTTCGATTTTGCTTTTTGAACAATCTATAATCGTCGTTCTATAAGTTTTTGTTCCTCTCGATTGATTTCTGCTTTAACTACTTTTGAAATATCAAAGACGCTGTATTTATCTTGAAATTATTTTTTTCATGAACACATAGAATCATGTTTATTAAAAAAAAGACTCAACTGGCTGATGATAGTGACAATGATAGATGATTTGCATTATCTATTGTTAATTGAGTTGACAAATGATTTAATAGTCCATTATTTGAATGTTTATTGGGTGATACTGGCTGAAAATTTGTCTTTGATCTCGAAACACTATTTTGATGATTTTTTAGAGTTACCTCTGATTGTGGAATATTCACTTGATCACAATGTAGTTCATTTTTCTGTCTATTCATATGTTGACAACATAATGAAAATATTTTTCCTAGTCCATCTTTGAAAGTTTCATTGAAATAACCATATAAAAATGGATTAGTTATTGCTGATATCATACATATTAAAAAGCGTAATGGAAGATATTTAGATAATTCATTTGCTTGTTTATCATGAGGTGTTTGATCATTGTCTAAAAATTGAATTGATTTAATTTAGACTCTTTTAAAAAATAGTACTTAGTTACCTGTTATATTATTATACCGATTCACATATGTAAACACGGTATATGAAATGTTAAATGGCAACCAACTAATTGCATATGACGATACAATAAGTAATAGAAGAACATTATTTCTTCGTTGACGACTAATTTCATGACGTAACGAAGCGATGTTATGACGTTTGATTAAAAATCGATATCGAAAATCTATGAAATTAAAATAGTAAAATATTTTTTCTTTTAATTTATTTTCATTGAAAAATCAGTTCTTGTTTTTTTTGCTTTTTTGAAATAAGTACTACTGACTGAAAAACAATGCAAACTGAATAAATAGTATTATGAACGTTGGAAAGTTCTTATTAGAAGATTTGAAAACTGTAGAATGGTATCAAGAAAGCGATTATCGAAACGGTGTTCTATACTCTATTTTTTTTAAGAAAAAAGGAAGACAACGATTGATTAAGATTCATGCCGACAGGAGTCACTGTTGTTCAAAAATTGAATTAATTGATTGTCAAACATTTTCATTTCTCTATTTAGCATGCCTTTAGTAAAGTTGATACATTATGAAAAAAATCTCTTATTTCCATCATTCAACCTTAAATAATTCGTTGATTCTCTAAAGAAAATGATTCCAACTATTCTATTGAACGTCTTCATTATAATTGATATCTAAGAAGATTAACAATTTCCTTAAGAATAAAGAAAATTAAATACGTCTACATACGTTCTCTTAATTTAACCATAACTTGATAATAAGTTATACAAATAATTGAAATAGGAAGAATAAATTGAAGAAAAAACATAAAGATAGTGTACACAAGACGCAAATCACCGTGTTGAGGCCACGATTCATGACAGACATGTAAACGTCCGTACATTTTATAATAGTGTTCTTCACATGATTTATCTATTAAATTTATACACGTCATTTTAACTACCATTTCAACAATGACTTCATCATAAACTTTTGACGAACGTGAGTATATAAAGAGTGGACTGGCTGCTCCAATAGCTAATATCCATATTCCAATCATGACAAAAAATGTTAAAAATGTTCCAATTAGCTTTTTATGTGGATAACAAACGACAAAATATCGATGAACTGATATTGCAACTATAGTTAATGATGAAACACATACATTTATTGCTGGAAAACTATCAGCTAATTTACAGAATGCTGGTGGGAATCTCATGTAGACATTTAAACTTCGATATGTATTCAAAGGCATTGTAAATAAACATAAAACTAAATCGCTTAATGCTAAATTAACAATAAAACAATTATATGGTCTGTGTAGTGCATTTGATTTACCAATACACGATATTACAATAATAACAAGACCATTGCCTACAATGCCAAGAATAGTTTCTGTAATGGATATAATGATAAATGGCGTCAGTAGCCATTGTGGTAAAGATGAAACTGATTCCACATCCAGCAGCAAAGGTTCAGATGACGTGAAATTTGTCATGCTTGTGTTTTTGTTTAATGGCAATTTGTCTTCACATATATACTAGCTATTAATCTAAAGTGATGACGAAGTCTCTATTTTTTTTTTTGACTCATTCTTAATTGCGAACAAAAGAAAAAAAAGAAAAAAATAGAAAGAGAAAAAGGAAAACAAGATGGAAAGTAGCCTCCAGCACCTATCAGCTTTCACGACGATGAGCTTTTTTTCCATTATTTTTCCAATCTCTTCACGCAACCTGCTTTCTTCCGGAATCTTTATTCGTATTCGTTATTGCCATCTCAACGATAAAAATCGCAGTTAACGCTGCAATGCGTACATTTTTGTGGAACTCACGCATATTTTCGAAGAAAATGGTGGGTGCAAGTTTAAAAGCACGATTTTTGCGGCTCCTCACCCACCTCATTTCAGACATCACCCCTTTACACTCCCCTTACACCCACTTGCAGACACCACCTTGTATTACAGATATTAGCATGCATGCAAAAACTAAATAAGACATTTTTTTTTCTACTGATCGATGTTCTTGCAGAAAATTTCGCGCCACGCATTATGCATAAATAAATTAGGCGCAAAATTATATGTGAGTTCCACATTTTAGCCCCAACGGGGCTGCGCTAACAAGCTTTTCATAGTTATTGCTTTGATTTATTTTTCTTTGCACTTATCTTCAAGAAGCTCACTGATTTTAAATCTTTAGGGCATCCATCTTGAAGATGATAATATATTTTGGCTATATTTTTATCACTGATTATTATTATTACTACGAGGCCATGAAAAATATATACGAGGATTAATCTACATCAAAAGTATATAGGAAAGAATCAGACGAAAATCAATTTGTAAGACAGATCATAGATAAACAAACAAATAATAATTAGTTCTTTTATTCCTTTTATACGTAAGTTTAGAAATTAACTAGAATTAAAAATAAGCTATTTCTTTTTAATTTTCAAAAAAAAAAGAAAGTCAAAAGTGATGATGTCTGATATTTTTCTGTTATTTAAATATCTGTTATTTAAATAAAACAAATCCAATATGACTAGTGAAAATTTCAATTCAATAACTTCAGTTAAAGATCCAAGTATAAAAGTAAAATAATCATTCTAATAGTTATTTACTTTAATCATATAAAACAGTCAAAAAGAAAAGAATCTTGTCACTAATTTCGGTATCTGGTTATATATATATATATATATATACCGTTTTCAATATGAAACTGAAGTTCTCATTCAAGAATCGAATTTTTTGGAATGTTAAATAAAACGGTACATAACGTGTGCCATTTAACTATTAATGCCAATTCAATCTATCAGGAGAAAAATAGGATCACTGACATTTTCAATATTCTAAAGGTTTCATTTCATTAGTAACCGATTCAGATAGAATTTGATTCCATACGAAACATATCACATCACAAAAAGATGATAATAAAAGGTTGTATTAAGAATCACGGCTAATAAATATTTTTTCTTATCAACTAAAGAATATCTTTATACTAACAAAAGATATCAACAAAAGCTCCTAATCCAATAGAGATTATTGAAAAACAAAGACTGAATATTCAAGAGACAAAAGAAAACAACTATTTCTAGAAACTTGATCAGTATGAGTTTTCTTATCTTGGATATTACATTCTCTTACAAGTTGTATCTACTATTTTCGTATGATTTAATGCTAGGATTATCATAAACAACTTAAACATAGAGAAATAAGACTTTTAGCAAATCTTCCCATATTTGAAATATGTAACCAAATTAAACAAGCTTGTTAGCGCAGCTCCTTTGGGGCTCAAATGCGGAACTCGCATATGAGTTTACGCCTAATTTACTTATGCATAATGCGTGGTGCGAAATTTTCTGCAAGAACATCGATCAGTAGAAAAAAAAATGTCTTATTTAGTTTTTGCATGCGTGCTAATATCTGTAATGCAAGATGATGTCTGTAAGTGGGTGTAAGGGATGATGTCTGAAATGGGGAGGGTGAGGAGCCGCAAAAATCTCGCTTTTAAATTTACACTCACCATTTTCTTCGAAAATATGTCTGAGTTCCACAAAAATAAAAAAAACTATATGTCCCACTCTATCATGTAACTCACTAATTTTCTTAAATATCATTTTAAATTCATAAAATATAATCTTGAATAGATTTTATTAACAATAATAAAGGGTGTCACAGAAGTTCTGAAACGATTTTAATAATTCACCGTTCTCGCATTCTACGAAAGCAAATTCGCTGAAACTTTGGTAGATTGTTGTACATATGTGGTACTACATTACTGAAAAGTTTCAAGTCTATAGCTTGTACTATAGATGAGAGCCTAG